CCCCCCCCCTATGTGGATGGTTTTACATGGACTTGCGTGAATTCCAGGAATGTGAAACCTTGGAGAGACTTTGTCCTGATAACAAACACATTCTGTGATCATTACAAGGAAGTATGTGCTGGGGGGGGAAATTGAGGTTCACATATAGAATGACCAGAATTTCTGTAAAAGGCTTGAGCATGCAGCTCTCACCGTACACAAGTGTTTAGTTGAGACCACCCTTGGTTTAAGTGATCGAGACTGCAGGAATTTAGAATTAATGTTGCAAACTAGTCCACCATTATTCTGTCTGTTCTATAGTCTCTCTATTTTTCAATGTTTTTTTTGTTTTTTTTTTTACTGTTATTAGGTTATTAAGTTAAGTATTTATTTTATTTTTTTACAACAGACAAGGAATAACATAACTTAAACATAAAGCTACCAGGTCAGTGCTTACCATATCAAAATAATAGTGTAAAAATTTCAAAGAGGAAATTCTTTTACATGCATCCTCAGAGGGAACAAAAAAAAAGAGCGACAAAAAAACAACAACAGCCACAACAAATAAGGGAAAGGAAGTCGGTCACCAGTGTTTCTCGGAATAGCAGTTCATGGCATCTGCAGTCCCAGGATTTCTTGAAGTTTTCTGTATTGTTATTTAGCTTGGCCAGCATGTTTTCAAATGATACTGTTTCCAGCATGAATTCCAACCAGTTTTTAATATCCAGAGCAGAAGTGGTTTTCTATAATCTGAGGATTACTCTGACAGCCTTGACCAATCCCACCTGCGTCACTGTACTTTGGTGCTTTGAAATATTAGGTATTATTGTCTGATCCTGCAATAGTCTTGGTGACATGGGTATCACCGTGCCCAGCCACTTTCCTATGTGCTGTAATACTATTTTCCAAAATGGGAAAATGTGTTAACAGTCCCAGGTCATATGTATAAAGGTTCCTGGTTCTGCTTGACATTTCCAACATAAATTATTGGAAAGTAGACCCATTCCATGAAGCCTAGATGGAGTAAAATAAAATCTGTGTACCATCTTACAGTTTATACATTTTCCTCTTGACTCTTTAATATGTTTGCCATTATTTAACACAATTGCAACCATTCATCATCATTAATACTACAGCCAAGGTCCTTCTGTCAGATAATCCTTACACCTTTACAGACATCCTTTTGTATGCCAATATATAATTTGTAAAATGTGGGTGCTTTGTGTTCTATACTTGTACAAACATAAAAACCAACAACGTAAAACTATAGGGATGCAACAGGGAACATGTTGCCGCTTTATAGTCCTTTATTAATTACTACTTATCTATTATTTAAAGTTGGTCCGTGAGGCTCATTGAAAATTGTGCTTAGGCAAAACAACCACCTGAGTCCCAAAGCATAGAACCAGCATGAATTTTACCTTGTGTTTTTTTTTTATTTTTTTAAATGATATTAAATGATATTAAATTTTTTTAAATTTTACCTTGTGTTTAAGGAATATACACTTCCTATGATAATACATCTTCTCTAATTGGCTTCTTCCAGAAAAGTTTCAGTCTCTGCGCTATCTCAGATTTTATTTCTATTTCCTTTCCAAGTGAAGATGAGTGTTGCCGGGAACACCAGAAGGTGTTTCTTTACAATGTTGAAAGCTCTCCGCTTTTCCACAAGCTCCTTCATTAGATCCACAAAGAAGGATAGTTTGCAGCCTTCCCATTCTAACTCCGTTTCTCTTTGGCCATCTGTAGTACCTTATCAAGCTGATGAGCACAGAAACTGCATCGGGATGGTTTGGGGTGGTTTGTTCATATCTAGTTTAGGTGCCACCAGGCGATCCTCTCCACATACTGAGCCATGTTCACCCTTTCTTATTTGCCTTCTTTCAGTTATTTGATTTATTGGTTTCATCCTCAGTTTCCAAATCTATTTATGAGCTAGTACCCAATGATTTGCAGCATTAAAATTTGAATTAAAAAAAATTAAACCTACCTTTGGCACAGCTGGGCTTTTAAAAAATTGCATAGTTGTGGATTTTCACAAAAATCTTTCTTATGGCTTCTTAATAGGGCTGCCACAAACGATTATTTTGATAGTCGACTAGTCACCGATTATTTTTGCGATTAGTCGACTAATCAGATCATCATCCATTGGACGTAAAACGTACAGCTTATTGCACCAGCAGCATCTGCTCTTATATAACTATCATTAGCTTACAGCTTTAAGTGTTTAAGGTGCTAACTAAAAATAAAGACAAGATGATAGTTTATTAAATTTTAATGAAATCTGCAGATTGTTTCGGTGAAGTTTAATAAACTCCTTGCTATCTAAAATATAACAGGACACCGGAGTAAATTCTCCAGCATCTCACACTTCTGATAATCAGCTGTCTGCTTGACGTTTATTCAGCTGTGTAAAAACTATAACTTTAATCTCAGCCAAACCGATTTACTCAGGAACAAATAAAATACTAAAAAAAAAGCCAAACAATAACATTTTTCAGTTATCTAAGTGACTTATATATCATGTTTAACCTGAGTAGCGAAAGACGGCGGTGGGTTTGAAAACGATTTGCCGGGAGTCCAGTGTTCTCACGGCTCTAGTGACCTTGCCCCCGGCTAGCTATCGAGCTAGTGGGTAACAGATGTCTCCGAAAACGTCGGAGCGCTTCTTACAAAGCTTCAAACGACGCGTCGACTATTAAATCAGTCGTCGACGATTTTAATAGTCGACGTAATCGTGACTAGTCGACTAATCGTGGCAGCCCTACTTCTTAATACCTTTATTAAATGCTGTAAATGGTAATGCTTCAAAGCTTTTTTTTGTTCTCTTAATGTGGTTTGCTTCTTAAAGTACCGTGCCAGGACTAATCATTTTGGTAACTTGCTAAATAATAATGACAGGGAACAGCCAGAGGCTCACAGGTCTTTTATTTGTAACTCTATACAGATGTTTAAAAAAAAAAAAAAGATTGTAGGTGATGATATTGCTGCAAAGCTCAACTGCAGCCATGTCTTATTCTGTCCGTGTTTCTCACAGTAATGTAAAGTTGAACTGATTTTGTTTTTAAATTCTCCTCCACCAAAGTAAGTGTTTTTCTGGTCATGAGTCACAGAGATGGCTGAATTTGAAGTGTGCTCTGTTCGTTATCCACACTCATTAGGATCCCCTCTTGCAGCAGCACTGATTTAGAAATTACAAAGGGTGAACTCCCACATGCTGCAGGATTTTGAATTGTGACAGGATTCATCCCCAGTTATGTCATCCCACACTGCATTTAAATGGCACCATGAAATTTCTCACATTTTCAGAGCTGCTTCTTACATTTATCTGTGACAGTTACTCTTTGATGCTTCAGTTAATTAGAAAATCAGCCTACTTTTAGTTTACTGGTAGGCAGTATGTCGTAGTGTTCCCACAGAGCATGGAAAAGAAAGTAATCTTGGATTTTGAGTACTGGTATTCCAAACACTGCAGGGTTGCAGGCACTTGTGCTGACCTTCACTTACCTTGGTCTCCTGCGAAGAATGAGTTGGTGGGTGATTTGAACTTAATAAGAACAGAACTTGGTTTTCCTTCATCCAGTGGAACATGGAGTTCCTCATAGGTGACTGACACGAGATGTACAAGGGGATGAATCCTTCTCTCAAATATGGCCTCTTGGCTGCATTAAACCGGGAGGAAGGGAGTCTGTCTATGTGATCCATTTCCTCCATCAGCCTCCAACTGGCATGCAGCAAGCAGGGAAGGACTGGAAGAATCATCTCAGGATTTTTCCCATTCAGTATGAGCGTGTGATACTAGGCTGTATATTTTTCATCTACAGTCATGCCTTGTTTGTGTCCCTCTCTTTCTGACATTTTGGGAAAGCAATGCTGATGCTTTCTTGTTTGTTCGTGTGTGTGTGCTGAGGTTGGGGTGGGGAGGTGGGTAGCTAGGAAGCTGGTGATTAAGATAAAGATCCAGCCTCAGTTCCAGACTCTGCTTTACCACAGGGCAGACTGTATTTCAGGGAAATTATCGGGGACCACTGTCTCAGTATTCATCATCAGCACTCAGGAAACACATCTGTGTGTCAGCTTGTTTGTGTGTTAAACACATTTTTTCTTTTTTTGGTTCTATACTTGCATGCACTTCTGTGCACAGTTGAGCTTCCACAGGATGTACTGTTAGCACGCAGTGCTGAACTAAATTAGGTGTGCTGGCTTCCTGAAATTTAGGGAATGAATGTCACAAAGAGAGTGGACATTAGTGATAGTGAAAAACTGACCGGCATTGTCAAATTTTAAGTTATATTTTAATTTTGGATTTGCTCATGCTAGTGTGTTGGACTAAGATTATGATTAAAGGTGTATTAATCTTTTTAATGGCAAATTTTAACTTTAACTACTTTTCTTAAGTAATGATTTTTTTGTTAGCTTAATCAAAGGGTTTTTCCTGCATAGAAAATGTTTTTGCACTCACAAAAGAAGTTTATTGTTGCCTAAGTATAGTAGACATTTTTATTAAGTATTAGTAATTGGCAGTAAAAGCCGTATATTTCTATCAAACAAAGTAATAGACTGCTTTAATTCAGATCAGTGTCATGTATGTCTATATTCACACACCAGAGATCCATTTTGAGACAGGCAAAACCCTAAATAAAAATTTTTCTTTTTTTCTTTTATATTGAATGTAGCTGGTTGTCAAATTTAGTCAAAACATTGCTAGAGCCTAGTACCAGCGGGCTTGGGAGATGTATGTACCTGGTGGTGTAATTTATTTTTGGGACTGTAAATTGTGTCATTTTTCAGTGCCTCTTTTTTTCTCCCCTTTAAACAATACAGTTTTGACAGTTGAAATGTGGAATAGAGTAAGTGATTATGATTCATCAGCACACAATCCATGTGAGTCATATAGTGACGTGTTCGGTATGTTCCTTTCTGCTTTATGTAAGCCTGGCACCAGCAGACTGTGCAGTCTGACCCAGATATGAAATAATTAATAGGCACTGCCTAAAATTTCCTTCCTCTAGAATACTGGGGTGTTCTTAAAATTATAACACATGTTTTCACAAATTTATGCAATCGTCCACTCAACAAGAAGAAATAATAAGCTGAAAATATTTGCTTAACATTTGTGCTAATAACCTTTATGATTAAGGCATGTGGTGTGCTATCTACATAGGTTGCTCACATACCTTAACAATCCAGGCATTCAGATAAGTAAGCTTTAGCTGCTATGAATGCAGCACCACATCTCCACCCTACTGCTTTGAAAAAGCAGTTTTATATCTGGAGCTCTGCATGCAACTTGTTTTACCAGTCTACTGCCTTTTTGAATGATCAGTGTTTGAGTTTTCTTAGCAAACATTAACAAAAGAATGATGCTCATTTCAATTCTGGTGGCTGTGGTTCAGGAGGTAGAGCAGGTTGCCTACTAATCGAAAGGTTGGTGGTTCAATCCCATACCAAGGGATTGCCCAAGGGATCCTTGGGAAAAGAGACCGAACCCTAGGTTGCTCTCTGTGTTCATCAGATTGTGAATACTAAATAGAATACATTAGGCATAGAAAAAAAAATGCTTGCATGAATGTTGAATGAATGAATGAATGGGTGAATCAAGTGATTTTAGTGCTCAAGCAGAGTAGAAAAGCACTATATAAGAACCGGCCCATTTACCATTTGTTCTGGCTTAAACATTTGCACTCAATCTGTTAAGAAAAGGCACAGGAGTCATTGTCTGTTCCTACATCATCTTATGCCACTTCTTTTATCTCCTATCTCCTATAACCTCTCTTGTTCTTTGTCCTCTCCAACAACCCCTTCTCTTGCTAAATACTGTCTGATTTATTTTTTTGTAAATATTTTTTTCTGTTCATCATCAAGCCATGTTTTCTGTGAAGCACTGAGTTTTAATTCCCAGAATTGGGGATATTTCTAAAGATCTGAATCTCAGTAAGGCGTTTCTTAGCATGGTGGTCTTGAATGACTTCCAAAGATTAAAATCCTATGTTAAGAACCACCACTAGAAATAGTTAAAGGCTGATATAAGAAAGTTTAGTAATGTGTGTGTCCTCACATAAAATGCTGTGTTCAGCGTCTTTGACAATAGTTGTACTCTTACGCTAATGAGATAAAGCAGCTGGACAGGATTTTTCTAGCCCGTTTTGGTTGTTTGTCTTAACTGGATTGTCAAGGCTAAAGAAACAAATACAAACAACTGCTTAAAAGCTACTTTTCATAACACTGGTGACAGGAAAGAGGAAAAAAGTTTATTCTGTGTAATCCTTATTTTTGCCTTCAGTGATTCATAAATTTGCCTAGAACTTACTGTTGATGCATAGGAAGGGTGCTTTCACAGCACATGTGTTAAAGAATAGCACCTTGATGCAGATGTGTTTGATCAAGAACATCAAACAACCACAAAATGCAAGTCATGCTTCCGTAGAATTTCAGCATAAATTTGAAATTGTATTTCATTTGATGACCATTCTTAATCTCAAATTAAGAAATGGGCACCAATGCACCAATTCTTCAGCAAAATGTTTTGGTGAAGTTTGTAAATCTGTGTATTTGCCCAAAAAATACAAATACATGCCGGGGGGGATTCAAAAAGGTCTATGGCCACCCACATCTGTGCAGTTCCTCTTTCTAAGATTGTAGACAAGAAAAAAAATATTGCACAATTAAATGTGTTGTATTTATTTATGTTTTGTTAGAAGAAATTGCCCAGACTTTTCAAAGAAGTACAAGTCTTCTTGTCCATGCCAATCTACTGTGCATTTATGCAGCATAGATTCCAAGTGAACTAGAAAGTAGATTAAGAAGACTATGCGTCCATGTTGTCTGCAGCTGTCCGTGTGCATGTCCAATATGAAGCAAATGTGTGACTGTGTGTCTGCATGTCTGCTTGATCTTGCCTGTAGCGCCTCGGTCACTTTGCTGTGGTTAGATTTTGTAGTGCAGCACCGAGATCTGTACCCAAACTTCCTCCAGCTCTGTTTAGTCTGCATTACTAGTATATACTTCAATTGACCACACACACTACACAGGTTCTATACACCCGTTTACATGGCCCTCATCATCATATGGAAATGTTTATATCTACTCCAAGATCCAGCTGCTCCAGCTGTATTTATCATTTCTGTTATCAGAAGACGTCATTTTTCAGATCGGAATTACTTGTGATAATCCAAACATCAAATATTAATGTACTGGTTTCCCTTTCAATATAAACCAATTAGGGCTGAACGATTATGGAAAATAATCTAATTGCGATTTTTTTTGCCCCAATATTGCGATTGCGATGCGATATGCGATTATTTTTTAAGGTCTTTGTCTTCTGTATTATTAAACAAAGACAAGCAATACATCATATAGTATGGCCAATACTATATTACATTAATTTTAAACTGTTCTTTCCTGGAAGACAGACCTCTGTTATGATGACATGAGGTGATGCATGAATTGATGACTGAAATTTTTATTTAACTTCTTCAATCACAACAGTATATTTGAACATACACAATAGTTTATTTTTAGCTTACAAACATCTGAGCATAAAGTGCTGACAAGGAACCCTGGTGTAAACATTAAAATGAAAGTCAGTACAATGTGCAGATTGCAGAAATATACATAAAAAAAATCAGTGGCTTTACCACACTCAGTTTTTCGACATCTGTGAACTACTAGACAGTCATTCAATTAAAAAATAATATTAAATAAATAAAACTAATAAATAAAAAATACACACATCTTACTGATCTCTGCAGTCAGTAACATTACACATAAAGTGCAAACATAATAGCAATTGTATAAACACACACACACACAAACACACCTTTAAAATTTAAAGGCGTGAAATTGGACGGTCTAGCCTTCTGATTAGCGTCACCGCTGTCTCGGTGGAGTTTAATAAACTCGGCCGTCTGCTTCTTGCTATCTAAAATATAACCAGACACTGGTGTAAATTCTCGACTGTCTCATACTTCTGTTTAATCAGTTTTCTGTTTGACGTTTAGTCAGCTGTGTGAAAACCAAGGAGGAACCCACCCGGGGGATTAATAAAGTTTTTTATTTTATCTAATCTAATAACTTTATTCTCAGCCAAACCGATTTACTCACGAACAAACAAAACACTGAAAAAAGCCCAACAATAAC